TTAACTTAATGGCACTTCCTTGGGGAACACTCCTTTACCCTTGAACCAGGTATCCTTTACCTTGATTTTTGTAACATTTATCGTACCTACAATTACTTGTCTAATGCCTGTCTCCTCTCCCAGATTCTAAGCTCCATGAGGTAGTAGTAATATGTGGGTCTCTACAAAAGTTTTGAGCCAGTCTATGTTATGGTTATTTATTTCACATCCAAGAAACAGTTGACAACGTCCTTTCTGCCCCATCCCTGCCTGTTTCAACTTGCTCGGCTTATCAGGATTGTGCAGGGGGGCTTCATTGGTTGCCATCCGCATAGATTTTATGATGTTTCTGGATTTTTGTGTATCTCAAAACTTTGGTAGTGACCCATATACTTGTTTTATTTGTCTCTGTATCCTTTGAGCTAACACAGTGCTTTATATACCTTTAGATACAGAAGAAACTGTTGAATAAAATGGATAGAGAGAAGTCATCCTAAATAAAAATAGTTTTAACTCACAGGTGGCCATATCAATAGTTACTAACTTTTACATAGAGGTTTGTATTTACCAGACATTGTCATACGTTCTTCATGTGTGTAATTGTCACCGCAGCCCTCGAGATTCCTACTCTTGCAGATGATGTATTCAAAGTTGAGGTCAACCAGCTAATACGTTGTCATCAAAGCCTTATTTATAATAGCCAAGAATTAGAAAGAACTTGTATGTCATTTGTATAGAATGCTGTGCAGTTCTTAGAGTCTAAGTGTTTTGTTTTTTACAAATAGGATTCCTTATTTGTCATTATTAAAAGCCTGAATTTTAGACAGATTCTTGGACTGGTGGTTCATATCCATCAGCTCATTCAACTTTAGCACCTGTCTCGTCCCCAGTAGCTTTTCCAGAACTATGACCTTCACCATGAGTCTTCCCAATTCAAACTTGGGTTTCATTTTTACTTTTCTAAGGAAGATATCAAGAAGAGGATAAATAGATTGCCAAGCCTTTTCTATGTCTTTCCCAATGTTTTTTAGAATCAATTTATTGACTATTTCTTGCAAGTCATTTGTCTGCACCTGTCTGGTCATGATTTCCATCATTTTCTTCTGGATTTGGCGAACCTGTTGGTGCTGGGCATAGGTCTTCCACATCTGATGGTTGAGTTTTTCAGTAAAACCAGCCCAGCACAGATGAAGCAAAGAATCATGGGTAGTCTTAACATCAACATGCACTTCAGTCACAATCTGCCATTTTTTAACCCTGGAACACATTTTGTCACGGGTAAGATCCACACTGTGGAAGTCAGTCAGGCAGTTTTTGCCCTGAACGTCTTCAGTAATCAGCTTGAGTTTTCTAAATGCAACTTCATCACTCTGCAGATCAGCAAGACTCATTTCAAACACACAACCTTTGAGGGCATCGGATGCAATTTTGGTTCCTTGAGTCCTGGTGACTAGAGTTTTCCCAGTATTTCTTATATTGAACATGCAGGTGCCTTCACATCACACCAATCTTCCTTAGAAAACGGGTCAGCCACTTTCTTCTTGGCTCCCTTTTGTCGCCTTTCACAAGGCACTTGTTCTTGCTGAACCTCTAGCAAGAAAAAGGCTAGAATCTAAGTTTTTAAAAAACTGTGTAGGAACATGGCAAAACATATGTAATATTTACGCTTCCTGGTCAGCCCCACGGATACTGCTGCAACAATGACTTCACTGGCCACGATGTGACCCCTTGCTCGAGTTCCCAGGCCATAGCTCTCTCAGTGCACACCGGCTGTGTCAGGGTGGGGCAGAGGCTGGACAGAGAAAGTGACATCTGGAGACAGAATTCAGAGACAGGAAATAGTAAATAAGCCCTGAAATACCCTGAGCCTTCTAGGAAGTGAGAGAAAGTCAGTGTGTCCCGGAGAATGTTATAAGCAGTGAGGCTGGAGAGTGAGCAGAGGCCATGTGGAGAGGGCCTTTGGGCCTTACCCTGGGCTAGCAGGGCCCGCGGTGGTCATTGCAGACTCAGTGATGGCAAGTTGGAGGCACCAGTCTCAGCACCCAGAGGTCAGAGGATTTGTTTGGGTGGAATTGACGCATTTCTACTTTTGGTAAAAAAAAAAAATGTAAATGAGGACTAGACATGGAACATGGAAAATTGAAAGATTCTAAGATTCGAAATCTTGTCCTCAATATCACTTCCCATCAAAAGTACAAATAGTATGAAAATGGAAGTAGAGTCTGAGGGCGACGATTTTTAGAATCTGAAAGAAAACCTCTGCTTTCTGCGAATTGTCACCTGTTTATCCCCTTTAAATTTGGTTGTTTGCTTTCTGTTCTGAGCCAATGCCATTTGTAGGTTTAAGACAGTAGTCAGTTCTACCCTACTGTGCATGGAAAACGTGAGCTCAGGCTGAGTTTCCAAGGGTGGTAACATCCCTGGCATTTTATAGTTTGGAGTGCCCTCTGTTCTAAGAACCATGGGCGACAAATGGGTTAGTTACCAAGGTTTGAATGATGGAACCCTCTCCAAAATTCATATGAAAACTCAACCTTCAGGCGGTGCCTATAGCTCAGTTGGTAGGGTGCCAGCCACCTGCACGAAGGGTGGTGAGTTCAAACTGAGCTCAGGCCAGCTAAGACAACAATGATGACTGCAACCAAAAAAAAAAAAAATAGCTGGGCATTGTGGCAGATGCCTGTACTCCCAGCTACTTGGGAGGCTGAGGCAAGGGAATTGCTTAAGCCCAAGAGTTTGAGGTTGCCGTGAGATGTGATGCCACAGCCCTCTACCAAGGGTGACATAGTGAGAATCTACCTCAAAAAAAAAAAAAGAAAGAAAAGAAAAGAAAACTCAGCCTCCAGTGCAACAGTATTGAAGGTATGGCTTTTGGGAGCTGCTGAAGTCACAAGGGCACCGCCCTTATAAAAGGGTTTGGAGTTAAAGGGAGCACTCTCCACCACTGTGAGGACACGGCAGCAAGGCACCATCTTGGACGCAGAGAGCAGCTCCCACCAGACACCAGCACTGGCGTCTTGATCTTGGACTTCCCAGGCTGCAGAACTGTAAGAGAGAAATTTCTGTTCTTTATAAACTGTCCAGTCTAAGGTATTCCATAAGAGCAGCACAAATGCTAAGACGTGGGTTTGAGAGCCTCTTAGATGTTTTATCCTGTTCATCAAGCATAATGTTTGGAGCAGGAATTTTGTATCTTGAGAACACAGAGGCATTTTACAAAGGAAATGAGAAAATAACTGTCTTCTTTAGTCTCACCCTTGAGGGCTGCTCTTACTCTCATTACCCATACAGATGTGATAGAGCACACAGGTCAAGAGCTTCAGCTTTTATCCTTCTAAGTCTTGTCACTTATGGAATACCTGCTTGTCTGTGATTAATATCTCTGGCTACCCATTGAATCAGCAGGAGGATTTGGGGGAGAAAACAAAAAGAACAACAGATGCCTATCTCCCTCCTGGGACAAAAATAGTTGAAAGCAAGGTCTTGAAGATACATGTGGACACCATGGTCATAGCATTGTTGACAACAGCCAAAAGGTGGAAGCAACACAAGTATTCGTAGCTCAACAGAAGAAGAACAGATCAGCAAAATGTGGTAGATACACGTGATGGAATGTCATTTGGCCTTTAAAAGGAAGGAACGTCTAATATATCCTGCAACCCGGATGAACCTTGAGGACATCATGTCAAGTGAAATAAGGCAGTCACAACAAGACAAATACTGTATCATCCCACCTGTAGGATTATTGCTAAAACAGTGGGAGGGGGGTGGTTGCCAGGCACTGGGGGGTGGGGGTGGAAAATGGAAAGTCATTGTGTAATGAGGACAGAATTTCAATTTTGCAAGTGAAAAGAGTTCTGGAGATGATGGTGGTAAAGCTTTCACATCACTGAGAACATACTTAATACCCCTGAACTGCACACTTA